TTCATTTGAGACCGGAAATCCAAAACGACGGATGATTAGGACAACGTCACTTGGTTTCCACTTGGACGTATCTCTGCCAAACGGAACTATGTGCATCATGACGTGAGCCCTGTTATGCATATATTCTTAGGGGTCTCAGAGTCATGTCTCAATACGCATAGTTCCGTTTGACGGAAATACGTCCATTTATATGCATGCAGCCATTCACAGTTGGATTTGACCGTTCATAGTGGCCAGAGCAGAGACAGTTGAAGGGGTACAGTGTGAAATACTTCATTTTAAAGAAAATTTATTCATGAGAAAAAAACACTAAGAAGTGGCCCGAACTGTAACAAGGTGGAGAAATGGTGCTGGGTTTCATACTACCCCCTCAGTTTCATACTGGTTCGCATTAGAGTTTAAAAAATTTAATTTTGACTTTAATTTTAATTTTTGGAATTTCTCGGCTTTGTTTTCCCCACAAAATGGTGTTGACCCAGCACCATTTCTCCACCTTGAAAATTTATTTACATACATACATATAAGTCGCTTTACAGCACTCCCTCGCGCTCTACGACTCCTAACCTCCACTGCTCTCTATCAAACCACAAATCTTGGGGGATTGAGCACCTCAACATTTCCGCTTCAATCCCTTCCCTCCAACCTTTCATTGGGCGCCCTCTGCGTCCTCTGAAAATTTATTTATTTTAATTTTTTTTTCAACCGAAGATAACAATGTTTTGGGTAAAAGCTGGCAACCTGCGTAAGATCTGCAGGATTCGGTCCGGAAAATTCGAAGGAAGGATAATTGAAAAAGGCGGCCACTTATAAATTAAACACGCGGGCCTTGGGGCGACCACCAAAACATACCCTTCCCGTTGCTGGGCTCATCCGTTGTCGACCTTTCCACCGGACTGAGGAAGAATATCGGAACTGCATTAAGTTTCTATGGGAACTATGCGGTTCCTGCTCAGCGGGTCAGCTCCTCTCCCGTGGACTGCCTACGAGACACAAATTTTCATTTTTATTCCCATATTTTGTCTCCACACTCGGTGTTCCTTTTCAAGTGATTTATCATCCTTCAGAAGAGCAAACGCCACCGTGAGCTTTTGCTACCTTTCACCTTGTTGTCGGGTCGAACAGTTTTGGTGCCTCTAAAAAGCTCTCATGGCATGGACTGAGGGATGAAAATTTCCAATTGAGTTCACTCTAAGTAATTTCACGCACTTAAAGAGAACGACAGTTGAAATTTGACAGTTGATCTTCAGTGTAGCATTGAAAGCACATATCGGTGGCTTAAGTGCGACTCTATGTATATCCATTGCAATATTTCAAAATCTTTGCTCCGATTTCAATCTTTCGAAGAGAAACTCGTTAACTATATAACTTGAAATTGCTACGGAGTATTCTGCTAATGAGAGGAAAAATCAATAAAGTTATCAAGAAATTGAGTTGACTAATTTTTCAACGATAAAACAACATATGATACATAACGTTTCAAACGGAAGTACGTGGTTCCATACTTTGCCCATCGATATAAAATCCAAGGTAGTAGATTCTCCGTCTCACTATAAAAGTGCGTAAACTTATTGGCCGTGCACTCAATTCTGGTAGAGGAAATACCGTATTAGCCTCCCAGACTTCGCCCAATTTTTTTTCTATTAAATACGAATGTTAAGGAACTCTTGTAAATATTTCCCTCCATTTTTGAGGAGAATTTTGTCCACAATCAATCCAAAGTGTCTGCTTTCAAAGGAAAACATTCGCAACTTCCCTCAGAAATAAACATTTACCTAATTGGAGGAAATTTTGCGTCGTCCGAATTTTTAAATGACATTTTTTCATCCCACAATAGTATCCCAAAATCGGTACCTATCTCACGCTAGATATTTTTCTGTGACACATGGATGAATCAATCGATAGAACCAGCGACCACCCGTTGAATCTGTATTAATTCAGTTTTGATCATTGAGATATCCTTGGAATACTTTCCTTTTTATTTAGAATAAAAGCTGGATTGCCAACCCTGTATCTATCTCTCAACTGTTTTTCATTTGCGTGGATATTTACTCGTCCGCGCTTGACCTCTCGCCAGTGGCGTGGCGTGAATTGCGATATATCGATTGTTATGCCATTTAAACCTATGGAGAAGGATCGATAAACAGGGTGTTCGCAGCGAACACCTTAATTATCGATTCTTTACCATAGGTTTAAATGGCATAATAATCGACATATCGCAATTCACGCCACGCCACTGGCTCTCGCACATGAACCCTCAAAAACTCGGAGAATATCATTATCTAATACCCGCTTACCAGCTTCAGCTCGCTCAACTTCCTGTTTCCCCTGCGAACAAAATAACTATGCAAAAACGCAGAGATTTAGATCAGACACGGCTGATAAAGCGAACAAATTGCGGAAGCACCTCAATGATAGGAAAGCTGTGCTCTTGCGAGAGATGTTTAAATTCAAGGGTTTACACTATCGCGCTCATACAGGAAAGCTATGCCATTTTTTTATTGGTTCCTGGTCATAGAGTCCAAAAAGAGTAGAGTGTTGGTCTAGGCCCGTAAAAAGACAAAGCACAGAAGCGCAATTATTATTGGTCATAGAGTAACTGATCATAGATAACCTGTCTTTAAACTTTCGTATCATTATGACCCTAAATCATCTTTAAAAATACAGGATTCATTAATGAAGATACAATATCTTTACTTTAATATTTAACATTAATGTCGTCGCAAATTTATTCAATTTCATTCTCATAATTCACACAATTTGACAACGACGATATCGTAAAAAGGTACTTTACTTTTATCGCTAAACAGAAACCTAATAATAGTTGATGGTCTGAGCGCTAGGAATACCTCCTATACGGACAGTGAATTTTCTGAGCTGAAGTTTTGATACACTAAAAGCCTCATCAGTACTTCACCAGCATGTAGGTTTTGGCGGGGTAATGAGTATTAAGACGCAGAAAAAGATGAAGCAAAGAGGAAAATAGCATGAGAATTGAAAACTTGTTTCCTTATTTTATTTTCCTTCCAAGTTGTATAGCATACTAATTCAACACATGCCAGGAGTCCTACAACCTGAGTTCGTCAGATTACAGTTAAAACTAGCGCAATTTATGTCACCAAAAGAACCTGAAGTAGAGGGAGGGGGGAGAGAAGGGGAGAGAGAGAAAGAGGGAGAAAATTCCATATCTGTGCGATGCGACCATTTCTGAGACCATCGAAGCTGTCATCTCGAGTGAGATTTATGGAAATAACAAGATGGGATCAGTGGCGTGGCGTGAAATATCGATTATCGATATTTCTCCATTTGAAGCTGTATTAAAGAATCGATTATCAAGGTGTTCGCAGCGAACACCTTGATAATCGATTCTTTTCCATAGATTTAAATGGCAGATCAATCGATATATCGCAAAGCACGCCACGCCACTGGATGGGATCAACCTGCAAGCAAGATACTCTGTTTTGAATGACGTCAGAATGACGTAGAGCGAAGAGGAACTGTGGAACGTTTCTTCCCTTCCCGCTTATCCACTTTGTTTGCATGGTGACGTCAGGTTAGGGAAATAATGTTCCCTGCAGCTCAGTCGTGATATGCACGGCACCACCTATTCAAACTGCATTCCTACATCACGTCCGATTTCTGAACAGTTTGCATGGTTTGCCGATGTGACGTTGGGTCAGTTTTGTAGACTATAAAATTGTGAAACTTACAGAGTCGCTTAAAATAAAAAAAATTGTGTTGACAACAATTTTAAAGGAAGACTGAATATTCCCTTGCAAATTGCATTTTTACCTTGAAAATGTTGTGCGTTTTCTGATTGAAAATTCAACTGATTTTTCATCTGATCTTGTGCAAAAATCAGAAAAATTTTCGACAAAAATTGCAAAAATCAGAAAAATTTTTGAAAAAAATTGCAAGAATATACTAAGTAACTTAAAAAGTTTAGCTTGTTTGAGTAAATTTTCCAACCTTAGAATCGGGTTACGATCCTTCGTCCGGGACACAACGAACTGACCCGCTTCAAGCGATCCGCGTCCAAAATCCACGGTGAGTTGGAAACGTTGCCAATTTGCGTTTAAAAATCCAAATAACTGGAAATCTCAGATTAGCTCGGATGAGCTTTTTCCCCTCTGTATTGAGATTTCTAGTTTTCTGGACTTTAACGCACGTTGGCTACATTTCCAACTTACTTTCTATACTACCGTGCTAAGGAAGAACGCCATATAAACATTCCAGAGTTGCCAAATTTCCCTCAATAAAATGTTCATTTTTGAGGAAAGCTATGAGTATTTTTCCTTAAATTTTCAGAACCTTTAGGTGAAATTGCGAACAAAATTATCTGAAAAATTGGGAGGAAAATATTCGTAAGTTTACCAGGAAATTCGCGTTTTATCAAAGGAAATTTGGCAACGCCTAAAGGCTCATACGGAGTTTTTCCTCAGCACGGTACACGGAGAAAAAAACCTCGTGCGTGGGACGCGAAGTTAAGGTCATATGGATCTCTGAAGTTTTCAGATTGAGCATCTGAACACTTAAGGTCTAGCTGTCGAGGTTCGAATCACACATCTGAAACTTCAATTCTTACATCTGAAGTACTTCGGTTTTCACATCCGAAAAACGTCGGTTCTCACATCTGAAGTACTTCAGATGTAAGAACTGAAGTTTCAGATGTGTGATCCGAACCTCGACACCGACAGCTAGACCTAAATTGTTCAGATGCTCAATCCGAAAACTTAAGAGATCCATATGACCTAAACTTTGGGTCCCACGCACGAAGTTTTTTTCTCCGTGTAGTATACGACTCGTGCGTCTACCGCAATCAGTTTGTACCGCAATCAGTTTGTACCACAATCAGTTTGTACCACAATCAGTTTGTACCACAATCAGTACCACTGGCGTGCACAAGTTTGATCTAGAATGCCGTCGTTTCACGGGTGGGGATGATTTTAGGGCGTTGATGGAAAAGACTAACGATGAATCCCTACTTCATGCTGCGCCAAAAGGAAAGCTCGCGGCGGTTCTCGACGCTGTTCTCGGGTCGTCGCGGGCGGATGCCCCCTCGCTATGGGGAGGCCCACCACAAGCGGATTCCGACGCCGATGAAAAAGAAGCGTCACCAGAGCTACCAACCCGCCAACACCCTGCAGCAACCCCCCGGCGGCGCCACCGGCGACGGCGAGGGGAACCAGGAGGAACCTGCCCCGGGTTCGCACCACCGTCACCACCACGACTCAGAGAAGGCTGTGAAACCGGCCGGCGTGCCAGACCCCTACTACCCTATATACTTGCCCATCGACCAAGCTTTCAAGGCCAAGTACGTCTTTCATCAACGCAAGGGGAAGTCGTTCAAGGAACGGGTTTACGTGTTCCTGGAACACCCCACCGGATGGATATGCTTTGTCTACCATTTTACTGTGTAAGTCTGCTTTTTCATCCCTTTTGCATGCTTTCAAAACAGCAGGGAGAAAAAAGAATCGTTGCTCATATCAGAGGCGGATCCAGAAATTTAACAACGCCGGTTTCCCTCCGTTTGAACCTATGTTAAACGATCGATTCTGGACAGAGCACCTGGCCCCTCCAAGAATCGATACATCTCCATAAGTTTAAACGGAGAAAAACAATGCTGCATTTTTGTATGAACATGTATAATGTCTCGGAAGAATGAGGGTTTGCTTGTTTTTTTGTTTTGTCTGCTTGGTCCAACGGAGAATAATATATAGTTGAGAGTTTTGGTAAAAATGGGGGAGCGTCAATTCCTTGAGACACAATTCACTAAAACTCTCTACACCTCTATGGTGTGACAGGACTTAATTATCTTTCAAGAAATTCCCACCTTGTTATTACCTGAACCGGATGAACCTCTATATTTGCCTCAGCTAAAGGCTCTTAGATTTTTCCTGTGTACGATAAGTATCTTGGTTTATTTTGCGAGGAAAGATCTGTACTTTTAAAGGATGCCTGTCATTCTTAATACGTTCAATTTCGTATAATACTGTGCAACATCTCTGTTGTGAAATAGTTGCTTCAGGCGCCGCCGCACGGCGGGCAGGCGGTCAACGCAAAACGCGCATTGGCGCCTACAAACCTAAGTGGATACTTCAAGCATTGTGCAATGCGAGAAGTATCCACTTAGGTTTGTAGGCGCCAGTGAGCCTCTCGCGCTGGCAGCACGCCGCTCCGCTCTGTTAGGCTTTAATATTTATACTCGCATAGTCAGCTTTTTTTAACTCATGATTTTGAAATGTTTGCACACTCTGCATTGATTATTCTCATTTACATTGATGGGGGAAAAATATGTATCAATTTATCAAAGGAGAATAATAATGTGTTGTGTGTGTTTTAAATATTGGTGGTTCCGTGTCAAATTTAATGATGTCCAAGGCACTTTAATTTTTTATTTTACTTTTTTATATTACATCAAACCTATGAATATGTATCGATTCTTTGGGGGGCCAGGTAATCCGCCAAGAATCGATTATTTAGCATAGGTTTGAATGGAAGAAATCCGGTGTTGCCAAATTTCTGGACCCGCCTCCGGGCGAAAAATCGTGTCTTTCCTCTAATCAAAACAGGATTCTACGACCAGCGCATTGCAAAATGCAGTCTAGTTAAGATGATCTTTCATGATAGAATCGGGACACCAGTAGCGAGTTGATTGTTGAATCGTTATCGAATGATTCCGGTCGAGAAATCCCTATCTTAGGAATGCTACATATCGATCACGGTCATTCGATATCGATTCAACAATCGAGCCGCAGGAAGCGATGAACGAGCGGAGGAAGGACACGGCCCGGGACGAAAATGCGGAAATATGCGGGATTGAAAGCTGTCGAGGAATGAGAGGCCACGCTCCGTCTACTCCGGGTCCACATTCTGCCGCGCTGGAGAAGAACGACGTAAGAGCCTTCAGACGCTGCCAAATTTCGTCTGATAAAAAACGAATTTTCAAGGGAATTTGTACTGGAAAAAAAAACACATTGGGTCCAGAGTCCAGACTCTTAACAACATCGACAAGAAAAAATACTCTTGATTCAATCAGATTCAAGCTTAAATCAAGAACCAAGCCTCTTAATTTGAGCGGATTTCCTTTCGATTTAAGCTTAAATCTGATTGAATCAAGAGTCCTTTTTTTTTGTCAATGTTTTCAAGAGTCTGGACTCTAGATCCAATGTGTTTTTTTTTTTTTCAGTGTGGGGAGATTTTCTCCCCATTTTTCAAAAAATGGGCCTGTTGCAAACTTGAACTGGAGCGCAAAGATGGGTTGTTGCTTTTAGAAAATGGCGCAAAAATCATGTGTTTTTTGGTAAATTAATAAATATTTTTCCTTGCAATTTTTAGATACTGGGGACTGTTTAAATCAAATATTTTGCTGGAGTTTTTTGCCAACGTGCGTTGAAATTCAGCATAAAGCTGAAAATCTCAAGTGTTGCACCAAACATCTCTTTGAGAGAAAACTGTGCTCATATGAGCATTTCCCTCTGTATTGAGATTTTCAGCTTTATGCTGAATTTTAATACACGTTGGCAAAAATCGCCAACATACTATCTCACGACCCGTGCGTCCACCGTAATCATTTTGTGTAAATTAAATACTCTAAAATATTTTTCCCTTGCAAGCTTTACCTAGAGCCAAAATAATAATTGGTTGTCATACAGACGTTGGCTCAAAAAGCACGATAAGCGCAACGGATTAGTCTGAAATACAGTCCGATCTTCACAATCTGCGTAAAAAATATGTGTTTTTTAAGCTTCTGTCCTCAAAAACGACGCTACGAGAGAGGTGAACATTTCGTAAGAGGAGTCGTTTCATCCTATACCCTTGCGCAGTAGGATGCTACACACACAGTATTCAATGCGGTTTTTATCAACGCAAGGAGAATGTTAATTTAATCACGCCGTTTGATAAAATCCCATATCGTCACGTATACTTTGGCGGGTTGGCATCGGCCATGTTTTGAATATTGCGAAGCATCCTAGTGCGCAAGGATTGGATGGAGCGAGGACGACCCCTTTTACGAAATATTCACCTGTTCCGTAGTATCGGTTTTGATCACAGAATCTTAAAAAACGCATAGTTCTTAAGCAGATGGTGAAGTTGGGACTGTATTTCAGATTTTTCCGATGCGCTTATCTTGCTTTTAAAGCCGATATCTGTAAGAACTTATTCTCAATTTTGCTTCAGCTGAATTTGCAAAGGCCGCACATTTTTCGAGAGTTTAATTTAAAAAAATTTACAGTATCTGAAAATTTAAAGGAAAAATATTCATAAATAGACCACGTTAAGCAAAAAGGAACCAAGCCATATCAGCTATTGGCAAATTTAATCGGTTAATTTAATTTTTTACGGTTCGGCGGATTTTTGTGCAAATTTCAGGGAATTTTTTGCATAGCACGACGCAAATTCCTTAAAATTTTGAAAGGAATCCATACAAACCTTCTCTCGTAAAAAATTGTAATGACCGGTTTTTGGCAACAGCTGATGCGGCTTGGTTCCTTTCCGCGAAACGCGGTCCAAATTTACCCGAAAACAAAACGTTTTTCAATGCGGGAAATTCGGCAACATACGGGTGTTCATACGGCGTTCTTCCGCAGCATGGGAGCATTCTCGACGGGGCCTTCCGTAGCGCGGTGTCGCTGCGGCGTCGGGGCGCACGTAGCGCGCGGCGTCGCGGCGCAGCGTGGCACCCGCTTCATAACGCGGGCGCCGGGCGTGTCGCGATGAATTAAACACGGAAAGCCTTTCACGCGCCTCGGCCTGCCGTCTAGACCCCGCCAATCCCGCGCTTCATTCTCCCGCTCCCTCACACAAACCCCTTTCTCCCTCTTTCTCATGAGCCCCGAAACGTATAGCATCATACGGAGAACAGGGCTCACCTTCAGATCGAGATACGTCAGAGGAGCGACGGTTCCTTCCACCCGGGCCCAGTCGGGAGCCGGATCCTGGAATTCCACCTCATCTCCATGCATGCAATTTTACAAACTCCACTCGTAGACCTATGAAATGGCCCGTTAATTCCTTCTCTCGTCTTCGCCCTTGCCCCCCGCCCCCTCCCCCAACCCCTTTGGACCCGAAATCCGTGCGCACGTCACGCGCCCCAATTCTCTTAGGTCGCTTGTTGACAGGATGTCGCGAATCCGAGGTAGATGTTGAACCGGGGGGACCGTTTGAAATCCCCAGACCCCATGACTCATGCCGATAGCAAGGTGGATTCAGTTCTGCAGAGGCGCGAAGTACGTGGCATTGCTGCTGGGATTGTACAACTTCCACCTTGACGTAAAAATAACCGATGTGAGATAATACTTCGTCTCCGGTACGATGGAACGTAACTTCGTTTCAAGGTTGCCAAATTGGGTCAAACAATTAATTTGTTTTGTCAAAATGTACCGGTGCAATGGAGATGTTGCATGTGTGAGGGATTTGCGATTTGACCATGGAGTCTTATGTAAAAGTTCGCGAGAAACACGATGGTGCCACTGGTTTTCTCTGAAATCATCTCCCAAGCTCAAAAAAAGCTCTCAAAGTGAGGCCAAAATGGATGGAATATACCTCCTTACCCTGAGAATCCACCTCTACATCAAAACAAACCCTCCATGCAAAGATAGGGAGGAAATACATTAGCAGGGATGCCGTGTTTTCAGTTTTGGAGTCCCCAAATAAAGTAGCAACCCTATGCTAATGTATTTGCTCCCTATCTTTGCATGGAGAGTTTGTTTTGATGTAGAGGTGGACTCTCAGGGTAGGGTGGGATATCCCCTCCATTTTGGCCCCACTTTGAGAGCTTTTTTTGAGCTTCGGAGATGATTTCAGAGAAAACCAGTGGCACTATCGTGTTTCTTGCGAACTTTTACATAAGAATCAATGGTCCAATCGCAAATCCCTCTCAAATGCAACATCTCCATTTTATCGAAAATGTCCCTGATTTTTGCATGAAATATGAGGAAAAATCAGCGAAATTTTTAGTTAGAAATGCTCAAGATTCTCCTGGTCAATGTGCAATTTGCAAGGGGATTGGGCAACAATGAAATGGAGTTACGTTTTTTCGTGAGAGAAACGACGAATACTGAGGTAAAAGTTTGAGGGGACAATTCGAGTGAATTAGATAAAAATCCTCAAATCGTTGAAGTTTGGCATCACCAAACTTTCGAATTTTTTCCAGTTGTAAAGATAAACAAGCTATTGAGCGTAAATTTATTCGGTCCAGCTTTGACTGAACAAGTTTAGGACTTGAAGTTGCAGAGATAATATGCGCGTAAGAAAGATTAGAGATTTTTGAAATTAAAAATCGGTAGTTGAATTCTAAAAACGCGTAACTCAACGATGGCCCCTCAAAATTTCCGTATATTTTTTATTTTTTAAAGAGAAACCAACAATTTTTAAACCTTACACGGAATGATCGTGACAAGGAGAAATAAAAAC